TGGAGGGGTTTTGCCCAGAGAAAACAGCCAGGGAGAAACTTCAGGTAACTTGAGCTGGAGACAGGGGAACCAATTCTCTGTGGCTCAGGACGCTGGAGCTGTTTGTTGTGCAGTTTGAGATGTGGATGGGAACAAAGGGGAGCTGTGCTAACTGAGGATTACATCCTGATGCATTTCTACACAAATAAAACCCGAGCCCTGGACAGATCCCAGGCTGTTACCTGTCCATCCGTTCACACCAGACTTTTGCAGCGGGGTGCAGGCTTCAGGCAGCTCATTTTTGTGAACTTGGGATTTTGGGAGGGATTTGCAGGTTTTGGAGCCTGACACTGCCCTGCCAGCTATGATGGGTTCAAGAGGCTCTGCCAGAGCAGGACGAGGTTTCCCTATTGCCAGGAAACCATATCAATAAAATTTAATAGGAAATGGAAAGTAAAAATGCAGCAAACTGTGAACTTAATATTGCCCCGGAAGGAGCTCATTAATATCTCAACGGGTGCACTCCTGCATTATCTTAATTGCTCAAAGTCCTCAGGAAAATTGTCTTTTCTGAAGTTTCCTGGCTGCTGTCAGTGGTGAGGTTCAGGTGCACCATTTCCATCATCCTTTGGTGGGTGGCTGAGGAGGTGGGGCTGAGCTCAGCCCCTTGCAGCAGCACAGCAATTGTTGGTGTCGGGGGTGCCGGGGGGCAGAGGGGACAGGCAGCCAGGCTTTGGAGCTCCTGCAGCCTCAGGGAGGGTGGGTTTGTGCTCTGGCAATGGGGTTTGTGTGCTCCAGGACGAGACACGAGGCTCTGGTGGGCAGCTCAAACATTCTGTCTTGGTAAAAAGGGTGTGTTGAACAGGGAGAGGAGGAGGATTGGATAATAATACACAGCGAGTCTGAAATGAGACATTGGGGCAGCAAGTTGGTGTTTCAGTGGGGTTGTGCTGTTCCAAAGCTCTGCTGGGGGATGTCAGATGCTGGAAGGAGAGGCTGAGGAGACTCATTGCTCCCTGGAGTGTTTGTGCTGCTCCTGCTGCAGCTGCTCTCAAACAGGAGCTGTTTTGCAAGCGAGACAACAAGTGTGACCCAGAGACAGCTCTTCATTAGCCAGAGAAAATGAAACAAATGAAGAATAATGGTCAGTGTTAGAAATAAATTAACATTAATTAATCACTGACTAAGACAATGTTCCCAGCATTAATCATTCCCCCTTGCTGTAATCAGAACATCAGCCAGGCAAACCACACGTGGAACTCCTGAGCGTGGTGTTTGCCAGGGTCCCGTGAAAACCAGGACCTGGGGAAAATCTGCTCCCCACATGGGTGAACTGCTCCCTCAGTGGTCAGTGAACTGCTCCCTCAGTGGTCAGTGAAATGCTCCCTCAGTGGTCAGTGAAATGCTCTCAGTGGTCAGTGAAGTGCTCTCAGTGGTCAGTGAAGTGCTCTCAGCGGTCAGTGAAGTGCTCTCAGTGGTCAGTGAAGTGCTCTCAGCGGTCAGTGAAGTGCTCTCAGTGGTCAGTGAAGTGCTCTCAGCGGTCAGTGAAGTGCTCTCAGTGGTCAGTGAAGTGCTCTCAGCGGTCAGTGAAGTGCTCTCAGTGGTCAGTGAAGTGCTCTCAGCGGTCAGTGAAGTGCTCTCAGTGGTCAGTGAAGTGCTCTCAGCGGTCAGTGAAGTGCTCTCAGTGGTCAGTGAAGTGCTCTCAGCGGTCAGTGAAGTGCTCTCAGTGGTCAGTGAAGTGCTCTCAGCGGTCAGTGAAGTGCTCTCAGTGGTCAGTGAAGTGCTCTCAGCGGTCAGTGAAGTGCTCTCAGTGGTCAGTGAAGTGCTCTCAGCGGTCAGTGAAGTGCTCTCAGTGGTCAGTGAAGTGCTCTCAGCGGTCAGTGAAGTGCTCTCAGTGGTCAGTGAAGTGCTCTCAGCGGTCAGTGAAGTGCTCTCAGTGGTCAGTGAAGTGCTCTCAGCGGTCAGTGAAGTGCTCTCAGTGGTCAGTGAAGTGCTCTCAGCGGTCAGTGAAGTGCTCTCAGTGGTCAGTGAAGTGCTCTCAGCGGTCAGTGAAGTGCTCTCAGTGGTCAGTGAAGTGCTCTCAGCGGTCAGTGAAGTGCTCTCAGTGGTCAGTGAAGTGCTCTCAGCGGTCAGTGAAGTGCTCTCAGTGGTCAGTGAAGTGCTCTCAGCGGTCAGTGAAGTGCTCTCAGTGGTCAGTGAAGTGCTCTCAGCGGTCAGTGAAGTGCTCTCAGTGGTCAGTGAAGTGCTCTCAGCGGTCAGTGAAGTGCTCTCAGTGGTCAGTGAAGTGCTCTCAGCGGTCAGTGAAGTGCTCTCAGTGGTCAGTGAAGTGCTCTCAGCGGTCAGTGAAGTGCTCTCAGTGGTCAGTGAAGTGCTCTCAGCGGTCAGTGAAGTGCTCTCAGTGGTCAGTGAAGTGCTCTCAGCGGTCAGTGAAGTGCTCTCAGTGGTCAGTGAAGTGCTCCCTCCCCTGCCAGCTCCTGAGTGTCCTTCAGAAAGCTCCAGCTCAGCTCTCGCTGTGCTGCTGGACAGGGGCAGCCGGGGAAGGGCCGGGAGATCAGCGGGGTCCCTTGGGCTTTGCTCATCACAGCCCTCCTGCCAAGCTGCTGGAGCCTTTGGAAAGCACTCCGTGATTCTCTGCAGCTTTTTCATGTGTCAGAACAGAAAATGGGGAAAATGTGATGGGAGAGAAATCTTGCTTCTTTCGACTCCAGTTTGGAATTGATGACAAAAAACAGATTTTACCAAAATGAAAGAAAAAATGTAACGGCGAAGAGACAGAAACTATTTACCTGGATAACCGAAAACCCCTCAACAATCTGATTTAAAACTCTCTGGCTGTGCCTGAGCCCTGCCCACCCTCGCTGCACAGGGACACCCTGGGCAGGAGCAGCCCAGCCTGGCCCAGGGGCTCTGTGATCTGCACAATCTGTTGTTATTTCTGAGTGCACTCTGTGCTGGCAGAGCTGGGGGTGCCTGCCTGGGGCTCCCTGCTGGCCAGCAGTTGGATTTTAGCTGATGCTGGTGCCCAGTTTGGCCGCTGGGATGCTGCTGGTGTGTGCATGGGGAGCTGGGCAGAGGACAAGGTGTGTGCAGCATGCTCTGACAGGCTGGGCAGGGAGGTTCTGCTGCCTGCAGCCCCCGTCACAGCCACTGAAGGACTCTCCTCCCTGTGTTTAAACAAAATGGGAGAAAATTCTACTTGGCATATACATATATATATAACTTTATGTTGCTTTTAGATAGCCTGTTAGAAACACTGGTAAAACCCCTAATATCTGCTTTTTATACTCCAAGTGATTGAAGCAGCCAGCAGTAGTTAATATTTTATGACCAGTGGAAAAAGATTTAAAATCCAAAAAGTCTCCTTAGGAGTATAAGCAATGCAGCAAATTCTGTAGAAGCTTTGGTCATTGTGAAAGTGCAGAATGTGCTCCTTTTGATTTTTAGTTGAAAAAGCAGTTGTTGGCAAGTTGGAATACAAAGAGATGCCACAGATAGAAGCTGATCTTCCAGCCTCACTTTTCTGCCAGTTGCAAGCAGCAGCCCCTGGCCGTGCCAGCTGTGCTCCGTGGGTGCTGTGACAGGGGGTGCCCACCCAAAGGGCAGCAGGCACTGCAGGACAGCAGGGATAAATCCCAGTTTCCCTGGTTTTGGTGGCCAGGCTGCCCAGCAGTTCTGTGCCCCAGCAGCTGGGGTGAGGGAGCCTGGGAGGGAGCTCAGGCTCAGGTGGGATTGTTGGGGTGTCTGGAAGGGCCTGGGGGTCCCTTCCAGCTCTGGAGCTTCGCTGGGTCCGTGAGATTCTGTGTTTGTTCAGGGTGAATGGCAGCTCTTGGGGTAGTAAATAATTTTTCCATGCAAAGTTCATTTCTCTGTTCGCTCTCCTGGCTCTCCAGCAGCACTTTTGCTTCTGGTCTCTGCTTTTCCTGTGCTGTGGGGGTTGCAAGTGCCTGTGCAGATATAATGTGAATTCTGGGGAAATCTGCTCTCCTCTTCCTTCCCCTGCTCTCTGTGGAGCCAAGGCTGCTGATCCTGGGGCAGTACAATGGTTAGTTTTCTGAGGAGGCAGGAGAGCTGATAAATACTTGTAGAATGATAAATACTTGTGGAGTGCTATGCAGAGACCAAATGTGAGAGTGCCGGAGGTGCTTGTGGTGAGGCAGCAAGTGCTGCCCTTTGCTCAGAGCCCTGAGCAGTTTTATCCCATTAAATAGGATCGTGTTTGTGTGCATTGCAAATCTCTCCTCTCCCCTCGTGGCCTTTCAAGTGAGAATTATGGCAGGCTCCTTCGTTTAAGGAGCGGTCCCAGACCATAACTCAAGTGATTGCATAATGGGCTTGGGGATTGATGTCCTGTCAGCTCAGGAGCTGCTCAGGGGCCTTTGTTGCCACGGGGAAAACAGCCCTGAGCACTGCTCTGGTCTCTCTGTTACAAAAGGCACTGCCAGGCTCCTCCACACTCTGCTGAGAGCAGGAAAAGCAGTGGCTGCTGTGTTGGGACAGAGCTGAATCACGTCCAGGCTGTGTCTGTGGGACTGAGGTGTTGTGCTCAGCAACCTTCACACTGTTCTTCATCAGAAAGAATCAAAACTAAACCTCCTTAATCCTGGAGCCTTCATCCTCCAAAGGCTGAGGAAGGGTGTCCCTGTCTTTCAGCCAGTGCTGGCAGGTGTAGAGTTAACTCACGTTACCAGGATCCCAAACCTGGTAAAGCCAGGACACCGAGCCAAGGGCAGTGAGTGATTCAAACGGTTTCTGTGCTGTATTTGATTGCCTGAAGGGAAGGAGTGATGGATGTGCACATACAGAGTTGCCTTCAATCGATTCACAGTTTTTATTTGGGTAACTTGAAGCCAATGAAAGGATTGTTCCTTTGGCTTGTACGTTGTAAAGGAACGTGCTGGAGAAATGCAGCTGGATACAGCAAAGCCGAAGCTCAGCTGAGGCCAGGTGCTGCTGCTGCTGCTGCAAGAAGTGCCATGAGTATGTGAATGTGTGTATTTATCAGAAATTGTTTTTTTCTACAGATCCCACAAATCAGTTATGCCTCAACTGCACCAGAGTTGAGCGATGACAGGCGCTATGATTTCTTCTCACGGGTGGTTCCTCCAGATTCCTTCCAAGCACAAGCAATGGTGGACATTGTGAAAGCTTTGGGATGGAATTATGTATCCACTTTGGCATCTGAAGGGAATTATGGAGAAAAAGGAGTCGAGTCCTTCATGCAAATTTCCAGAGAGGCAGGTAGGCAACGCCCGTCCTCCCTCCAGAAAGCGCTGTCATGAATGTCGTGTTGTACCAAATGTGATCGTGTTTTTCCAGAGCTGATATTTGATTCTAAAGTTGCTCCAGTTCTTTGCAATGCTCTGCAATGGCTCCTGGATATTGTCGTTCCTAAACTGCTCGTGGAGTTTCAGAGAGTGGGAGCCCTCAGTGGTTTTCAGTCATTTCTGGGGAAAACAGAAATCCTTGAGTTGTACCGAGCTCCTCCTGCTGCACTGGCTGAGGTTTCCTTGTGCTGGCATGGGGAGAAGGCAGATTTGGGAAGGCTGAGCTGTTGTGTCTCCACAGGCTGGAATTGTGCTGTGAGCTGTCTCTGGTGCTCAGCTCAGGCTCCAGCCCCGTGTGGGGTGTTTGCTTTGGAATTCCTGTGCCCAGCTCAGGGCAGGGAGTTCAGAACCTTTCCCCTGAAGGCTCCGGGGTTGCTGTGTGGGATGTGGAGCCAGCAGGCCCAGTGGTGTGGGATGAGACGTGCCAGACCTTGGGTGTGAGGCCTTGGCAAGCTGATTTACAATCCAGATTCGCAGGGGCTTGCAAACTGAAGTGTTTGATGATGATTCCTGTGCTGGGAAGGAAAAAGCAGCAGATGATGGAATTTATAATTGGTGATAAATGCAAAGGCTGTCTGTGGGAGGCTCTGCTGATAGAACCCAGCAGCGTGGGCCAAGCCCTGCTGTGCTCCCCCTCAGGTGTCCCACCCTGGAGCTGCCTGGCATTGCCCCAGATGAAAGCAGCAGAGCCCCCAGCTCAGAGCAGCACGTGGATCCCAGCCAGGGCAGGGCAGGAGGTGCCCTGGAGCAGCTCAGGGGTCCCCATGGCCAGGGCTGGCCCCACAGCACCAGCTGTGTCTGCAGGACAGGCCCAGCCAGATCCCAGCCTGTCCCAGGGTGATGGATCCCTCCTGGCAGCATCTTCCAGGGAACAAACAGGGAAAGCCACTGGGCTTAAGGGAAGAGGAGAGGGGGAGCTGGAATTGTTTCTTTATGTTGGTGTCACAGAAGGAACCCATATTTGCATAAATTTCTCTGTTCCTACAAATGCATATTTATGTGGTATTAAAGCAAATGGGTTTGGATTTAATACAGCAGGAAGTGACAAATGCCAGCGCTCATTGGAATTGAAAATTGACTTTATTTGCAAATACCCACTGTTGCAAACTCATATTCCAGATGTGTTCCCTGTGTGAAGGACAGGCTCTGGCTGGAGAACAGGATCCCATTTTATGGACCTTGTGCAGAATTACATTTATTCCGTGAGCTGTTGATGCAATCGACACGTAACTCAGCCTCCTGCAGCAAAAGCCAAGCCTAAAGCCAGAGCAGAGCCCTGCTCCCAGCAGCTCTGTGTGCAGGGGATGTGGGTCATGCCTGGGAGATTAAGGCACTAACAGGGATAGTGCCAAAACTCCTTCCTCACACCCCGGGATGGGAATAATCCAATCCCCAGCGCTGCTGCTGCAGCTCAGGGCTGTGCTCAGCTTCTTGTGGCACGCAGATAAAGCTCAGGTGAAGTTCTGACAGGATTTAATACCTGTCAACAAGTTCCCTGGGGGTTTCAAACACTGGGAGGTGCAAGATCCTGTTGTTGGGAGGTTTAATGGAGCAGTGCTGTGTGGGATGCAGGTCCTGGTCTGGTACCTTGTGCCCTGACCTCGGGCTGGGAGCTCATTTCAGTGAGTTAAACTCGTGCTGCTTTTGGGGGGAGCTGTGCCACCGCTCCCCAACACACCCAGATGGGGTCAGGCCCTGCACAGGGCACAGGGATGGGAGGACAGGGCCTGCAGGTGGCCCAGGGAGGGTCAGGGTGGATATTAATGGGAACTCCTCGCAGGAGGTGTTGGCCAGCCCTGGCAGGGGCTGCCTGGCGTGGTGGGGATCACCAGCCCTGGAAGGCTTCAGGAAAGGGCTGGAAATGTCTCCTGAGCAGCAGAGCTGGGCAGGGGGAGCAGAGCCCCTGTGTGACCCTGGGACCAGGAGATCAGCCCAGGCTGGAGGGAATTCAGCCCAAACCTGAGACACCCCAGCAGGGAGCGGTGGCTGTCAGCTCCTGGAGAACTGTCTGGCGTCTCACAGTCACTTTCCCTTGGCACAAAGGAGGGTTTAGTCCGTAGGTACCCACACATTTCCTGGCTTTGGCCTCGAATCTGCAGCAAGCTAATTATCCTAGAGTCAGTGTTTCATCCAAACTTGTTTCTGATCAGCTGGGATCTTAGGAAATCTGAGGATCAGTAGAAAGTGCTTCCCCTGCTTAGTTTTCAAATATGCTTTGGCATGTAAAGACTTTGCTTGATCCTCAGAGTTAATAATTCTTCACAAAGTGACTTTTATTATGAGCACTTCAAGCGAGTTTGAATATGTCATTGTGGCAGGAGATGAAGATTTGAAACATGCTCTGCAGTCTGTGGGATTAATAAATTAGGGGAATGGTCTAATTATGGGAAATCTAAAGGACAATTTCAGATTATTAATGAAACTACTGAATACTTGAATTTCAAAGATTAATTCATCTTTGATTTTTTTTTAAAAGATTAATCTGTACCAGAAGGTTAATTGCTATCTGTAAGAAATATATATATTGAAGTCGTTAGCAAAAGACCACTTGAATGCCTCCTAACAGATAAATGAAAGATCTGGAGTGCATTTATGAATGTTCTGCTCTCCCCAAATGGCCATTTTCACAGCTGGCTTGGCTGGCTGTGCCGCTGCTGGGCTTTTGGGGCTCTCTGCCACAGTTTTGTGGCTCACAGGGGTGAGGATGGGCTGGAGCTGCAGGATGTGTGTCCCTCCTTCACCTCCCTGCTGCCACTGCCCAGCTCCCCGTGCTCAGCCACAGGCCTGGCTTCTGCCTCTGCACAGGGCAGGGCAGCCACAAGGGACAACCTGGGGATGCTCTGAGCCACCAGAGGGGCTGGGGAAGGACTCTGGGGAAAGGTGCCCCTCTCTGTGTGCTGCAGGTGTGCCAAAGGGGCTGCAGCTCCTGTGCCAGGCTCTGGTGTGGCTGCAGCTCCTGTGCCAGGCTCTGGCAGGGCTGCAGCTCCTGTGCCAGGCTCTGGTGTGGCTGCAGCTCCTGTGCCAGGCTCTGGCAGGGCTGCAGCTCCTGTGCCAGGCTCTGGCAGGGCTGCAGCTCCTGTGCCAGGCTCTGGTGTGGCTGCAGCTCCTGTGCCAGGCTCTGGCAGAGCAGAGATCCAGAATTGCCTCTAAGCCCCTTCACCATGGAAAACACAACGCTTGTTGAACCCTCCTGATCCTCCTTGCTCCTGCTTTCACTGCAGCTTTCGGTAGATCTCCCTGTCTGTGGTTCCTGTCCCCTGGGTGAGGTGGGAACATCTCTGTGCAGCAGGGCAGGAGCTGGCTTTGCTCAGAAACAGAAACTCCAGCCCTTCACGTGGCTCCCTGCAGGTGGAACAGGATTGTTTATGGTCCCTTTCAACCCAAACCACTCTCATTTTCAATCCTTCCTACCCTCAGAAGCAGAATCATTTCCCCAGCAGTGCTCCTGAGGAGCGTTTCTATATATAAACTTGAATTTCTTTATCTTGTTTTTCCCTTTAGCTTCGTATTTGCTACAAGCCCCCTGTGTATTCACACAGGCACAAACCTGTGTGAGACACGTTATCCTTGTCTTTAACAAGTGAAACTTGTGCCAGGGAGGTTTGGGTTGGATTTTAGGGAAGGGTTCTTCCCCCAGAGGGTGCTGGCACTGCCCAGGCTCCAGGGAATGGGCACGGCCCCAGGCTGCCAGAGCTCCAGGAAACGCTCCCAGGGATGCCCAGGGTGGGATTTGGGGGTGTCTGTGCAGGGCCAGGGGTTGGATTTTTGTTCCTGGGGGTCCCTTCCAGCTCAGGACATTCCATGGTTCTGTGTCACTCCACCAGAACCAGATGAAACATTATTTTACACTACATCACCATCTGTGCATTGAATATCATCCTCTCCAAATCCATTGGTTTCTTTACAAATTAATGGCCTACGATGAAGTGCTCATTACAGAAGTTATTTTCTCTGTGTTTGTTGTCTGTAGCAAAGGTTTTTTAAACCCTTTTACCCACCAAAAACTGAAAATGCTACTATTCCTAGAGCCTTGATACTTGTTTTCTCCCCTGACATGTGTTTCTCAGAAGATCTGATTCTTTTGCTGGGGTCTTTTGGGGATCTGAGTCGTGTCCTGAGGCTCCCTGACCCCCCCAGTTCTATCAGAGGTCTCTGCTCTCCCCCAGCCCTTGCTGACAGAAGCTGACACTGATAAAAGCCCAGAGCTGCTCTGTCATCCCTCAGTGATTCACACAGCACTTTTGTAGGCTCCTCTAGGTCTGTTCTGCTGCCTGCTCTGATCCTGAATCTGCATTTTTGTAATAGAACTTAATTTTTATGCTGTCTGTTGGGAATTCCATTAGCACAAATTAGTGCTGGATAACATGAGAGAGTGAAATCACTGCTAGGAGGGAGTTGTGGGGTTGAGAGGAGACTGCTCTGTCTGCACATCTCAAAGGCAGTGCTGAGTCCTAGTGCCAAGTAGAAAATCCTGATTTATTTCCTTTTTGCCTTACGTTCTGATGCTGATGAAAGATCTGTGTTTTCCTCTGGATCCATTAAAGCCCTGCTGAATGCCTTTGGACCCCTCATTGCGAGGAGCAGGCTCTTTACAAGGTACCCCAAGGTTAAAAGTGAGAAGGGAGGTGACAGCAGTGGTGGTCAGAGATTGCTCTGGCCGTGACAATAAAGCCCAGAATTTGTTGATGCTTTGCACAGTGTGGGTGCTGCCCATCAGCCAGGGCTGCCCCAGCCTGGGGCTCTCACTTTAATGATAAATATCTGCTTTTTTATGGCACTTATTGACCATGTGGAGATTGCATCTCAAGGACAGAATAAAATGGAAATAGGCAATTCTTGCTGCTGAACAAACAAGTGGCAGTGTGCTTTCAGAGCAGGACCCCAGCTTGGACAGCAGGCACTGTGAGAGCTCTG